CACTGCGTCCACGATGGAGGGTGGAGGAAGGGGGGGCGCCCAGTTCAAAGGCCCAACGGCGCCACGCAGAACAAAGGCAGGGCTGCGGCGATCCAATGCAGTGCTGGAACTGCCATCCGCTAGAAACCACCGTCAGCAGGAGGAGGGAGGGGAGGCTACATGTCCCAGCGGCTCCGCGGCTTCTCACAAAAGGAAAGGCAAGCCGCGGTGATCCGTCAGCTGGAGACCGCCGCCCACGCCATCTGTAGGGAGGGGGAGGCCGCCCGCAGGCTTCTCAGCACCGCCCGACACCGCCGCGTCGCCCAAAGCTGTCCGAACAGCGTTTCTCCAGGTGCTCGTTTTTCCAGCACCCTCTCAATATCCTCTTACCCAGGCTTCGCCCTTCAGCAGTCTGGCTACAGCAGAGGCTCGGTTTTTTCGAAGTTTCCTTTCTCTTCAACCCCGAGCGAAAAGCTCAGGCAGCCATCTTCCTCGCACATGCGCCTAGCCAATCCATTGAAATCACACTGTTGAAAGAAATGTCCATCTGGGTTCAGTTCCAAGTGGGAAGAAAAACACTGGAAACATGGAGGTTGATTGGAAAGATGGTTTAATGGTGGATAGGACCACATGGTTTGAGGTCCTGGGCAATAGAGAGAGATGTATACCCTCTCTTGAACTTGCTTCCTGTTCCTGTGAAAGAAATGTATACTGATTGGTTGTCAGATTCCCATGAGGCCATGCAGGGGTAACTTTGTAGATAGTCTTGAGTCCCAGGCTTTACTGAATCTTGCTGGGTGATGTAATGAAGGGGCCTTGGGCAATTCCTATTACAGCTTAATGGCTTTGTCCTGGTTTGTATCTTGAGTGAGGGCTAATCCTATCATGTCTTGAGGGTGAAGGTCTTAATCCCATCACCCTGGAGTTGAAGTGGGGGCCAGGGAGCTGCTTTGTCTTTAAAAACATTGTTTCTCCTTTTCTCATCCAGGAAAATACCATATTCTGCCTTTTTAATATTTCCTAGAATGTTTCATTCTTCTAGGAGAGGGGTGGATGCTAACTTTCTACAACACCTTTTTTATTGTAGCACCTGATTTTGGTAACCCCATTTCCTCACACACACCCCTCCCGATGCATACAGGTCCTAATCTGTTGGAGAACCAATGTTGGAGAACCAATCTTGAGCAAAATGGATTTCGGATGCAACTTTTTGACACCATTCTTTGCAGGATGATTGTCCTGTATCGCTCAGATTCACTGCTTCATCGTTTCAGAAGGACATGGGATTTCATCCATTGGTAGAAGTGAAATTGCCATTCCCTTTTTTTCCCTCTTCTCTAGGTCTCCCGAGCAGAGGTGACTGAAGCTATACTGGTCATGCAAGTGTATGATTTCAACCGCTTTTCCAAGCATGACATAATTGGCGAGGTGACTCTGCCTCTTGTGGATGTGGACTTACAGCATGTAATGGAACAATGGCTTGATCTCTCTCCAGCTGGCAAGATAGAGGTACGTAACTCAGAAGTGAGAGTGACAATTTTATCTAATTTGGGTGATCTGGCATCTTACTCATTCGGGGTAAGGGAAACAACTTCCAGCTCAATTTTTATGGGTCTAAAGCTTCCCGAAGTTGTATCATATGAATATGGAAACAAATGGTTTGCCTTCAGCAGTGTTGGTTGTCACTTCAGATACAACAGCGGTAAACTGAGAGTGATAAGCTGAATAATTATTTCATTTCAAATATTCAATGAAAAATCAAGAAGCAAATAATTTAGATGCTTTCCTCATTAGTCATCTCACTCTCTCAGTGCCAGACCTCTTTTGGACCCCCAGGCTGAAAAAAAAATCCTCAATTAATTCTGACCCTGATCACAAAATACCTGCTCAGCTTTGATGCACAGACTGGAATAAATCTCACAAAAGTCTACGTGACATCATTATGAAACTCTGGAGCAGGGGAAGGAAAATGCTGACTGTCTCTATTTAAATGAAGAGTTAGATCTTGGTGCTGATTCTCTTGACCAGTCAAAAGTGCTCTTCCAAGCTTAATTATGCAGATTGTATTACTTAACTGTTAAAGGAATTTAATTATATAGGAGTTATTTCCCATGCTGAAGGTTTTGTAAATTCTTCTGCATGTGGGGCATATGTTGCCAAGGAAGGAAGGAAAGATCTTTTTTGAGGCAATATAATAGGACATGTGGAAATTGAGGGGGTTGTGGCCCCCCAGATGTTGCTGAACTTCAATTCTCTGTTGTGGGGCAACCTGGCTGAGATTGCTGAAACTACAGAGTACACAACATCTAGCTGTTTTCCCTCCTTACCTGTAAGATAAAGTTAGCAAAGAGAGAATCTGTGTTTGTTTTCAGATTTGGCAGTCCCTGTGAAAAGAGATTAAACTAAATTACTCTGTTATTCTGCTAGTAAAAGACAACAATAAAAAGGGTGTTTTTTTTCAGGCAGGCTTTTGAGAACTGGAAAAATGGCTTTGTTGTTTGTTTTGTGCCTAATTTGTGAACGTATGAACTATTTTATTCTGTGTACTATTAGGTGCCTTGAGCACCATTATTTGGTAGAAAGGCAGGGAATCAATACAATCATAAATCTATTTAGTTCCTGTTGTGTGCAAAATATTGTGTCGCCCTGTTCAGATTGTAAGCTTTGATAAATCCCCAAAAGAGCAGATGCTATCACAACTCTTACATAGTATAATGTTAAGCTCGCCATCTTTCTACAAATTTAAATGCATTCTTAACTTACGCGCAGTTGATTATAGATTCACAATAAGAACATTGTGACTATTGGCAGGTGCAGAAATTAATTTGATTTGATGCTATAGTTTTTACAGTAGAGTGGTTAATAAGGCCCCTGAAGGTGATTGAGTCATTAAGCCTACAATTACCGAGGTGAAGAAAATTCCATTGGATATATATACATTCTGAACCTTCAAATCTCTCAAGCTGTGATGTTTGTTTATTTTAATGGTCCTTGACTCTTCTAAAAGAGTTGTCTGAGTATTTGAAAATGGCGATAATTGTGTCTTACAAAGTAAGCAATTTTAGAAACAGTGAGAAACATTGTGAGAGTAAAGCTACATGGAACTACATGTAAGTCAAGACTAGATCTAAAAAAAACCAATAAAAAATTCTGGTGGAACTACTTGAAAATTTGTCAGATTTGCAAAAGAATATCGTCTGTGAATCACCTACTGAAAAGTTTAGCAACAGAAAATATAGCACCTTAATGCAACAATGACCGAAGACTCCTGAAAAGAAAAACAGAAAACATTTTCAAAAATCACAAATAGAAAGACTTGTACTTCGTTATACAAAACATTTGGACTTCATTCTTATTTCTGTCCAAGAAGATATTGCAAAGTATTCCAGCTTTGCACCTACCATATTCATTGTTTTCATATTTTGAAGCTATAAAGAACTGCACAATAGATGCCATGTTTTGAAATTGATAGAAAGATGCTGCATTTAATTTTGTAGTTTTGAGGTTGTGTCCCCTTGTGTTCACTTAGGAAGTTAGCAGCATGTCCAACTTGACCAGGATGCTGAAATTTTTATATAAAACTGCATCGCCTAACTCCACACTTCAGCTCATCATAGTTTGTTAAACTACTTACGACTTTCTAGATTCAGATATGGCTCACAAACTGCATTAGCTGGATTTGCCTAATACATTAACACAAAGCCAAACAAAGCACACTATGATTTGAGCCATGGTAGCGCAGTGTTAGAATGCAGTATTGCAGGCTAACTCTGAATTCTATTGCCAGGAGTTCGATCCTGACTGGCTCAAGGTTGGCTCAGCCTTCTATTCTGGTAAAAAGAGTTGCTTATTCTTATAATTATATTAGGCTAATGGGTATTGCATTCCAGCTTCTGAAGGGCATCATATTAGGAAGACATGATAGATTTAATATTATTAAAATTCCTAAAAATAATTTGGAATATTCTGATAAAATTAGTTCTTACTAGTAAGACATTCTATGCATGTTCTGTTGGAAGAAATGTCCTTCTGGGTTTGGTTCCAAGTGGGGAAAAAGACACTGGAGACATGGAGGCTGCTTGGAAAGATGGTTTAATGGTGGACAGGACCACATGACTTGAGTCCTGAACAGAAANGTTTTTTATAATCTGTTCGGCCCCACCTATCTGTTTCCTGTTCCTGTGTAAGCAATGTATTCTGGTTGGTTGTCAGACTCCCATGGGGCAATGCAGGGGCAAATCTCTAGGCTGTGTTTTGAATCCAGGTTTGGTTGAGTTCTCAGATGCCATGTGGTGAGTGGGTAAAGGCTAATCATGCCTTAATCCCATCACCCTGGAGCTGAAGGGTTAGGGTTAGAACTCCTTATTATGTAAAGGGACTGGCTTGGGTATCTTAATGGCCCATTGACAAAGGGGATGTGCAGGAAGCGGCAGGGAGCTACTTTGTCTTTAAAAACATATTTCTCCCTTTTCACATCCAGGGAAATATAATATTCTCTCTTTTCAATATTTCCTAGGATATTTCATTTTTTGGGGAGAGGGATGGGTTTTAACTTCCTACAGTTCAAACAACCACTTTTCTTTGCAAAAGTCTCTTACTCCAAATTTGCTTTTGAAGTAATCAAATTATTCCAATAGAGAAGAGGTTAGGGTAAGTTGATGTCATTAGGAGGATCACTAATTATTATTTAATTATGTTAACTATATGTCATATTAATTTATTAATCAATATTCTAGATTTTATTGTTATTTTTTACCAAATGTTCACATTTGGTAATAAAGTAGGCTGTAATTCCAATAACTAAATAAATAATAGGGCTACATAAACAATGTAGTGGCAAGAAATTTACCCATTTTGTACCACTAGAGCAAAGTCAACCCATCACTTAATATCAGGCTACTTATGTGATAAAAACTAAGAGGAGAGACATAATCCATTTTTTTTCAAAGTAAAGATCTGCTTGCAACATATACTTCTTGTTTTTTGTCAATTATAAAACAAATTACAAAATGCTGCAACTGGCAAGTGTACCATACAGGCAGACCTCACTTACTGACTGCCTTGTTCCTCAACCATTTGAAATTACGACAGTGCTAAAAAAATAGATTTATGACTGGTCCTCAAACTTGCTGCCATTGTGATGTCCCTGTGGTTGCACAGTTGTAATCTGAGCCCTTTGCAAGCTTAACAGCTGGGAAGCAAAATTTATGGGGAGCAGGAAGTCACAAGTCTCCGTCACATGATGTTCATGCTTAACAACCCATAGTGATTTGCTTAATGACTGCAGGAGAACTGGCTTGGCATGGTCACACAACATCTCACTTAATGATTGCATTGCTTAGCGACAGAATTGCTAGTCCCAATTTGAGGTCAGTACGTGAGAACTATGTGTATTTTTTGTGTCTCAGGAATAAAGCCAAGGAATCAGTTCTAATAGCATAACCTGGACTAATCTTTTGGAGCTGCATGTACAATTAGGATTCATCCAATCTCCTTGTTTCAGTTTGGCATAGTTAAACACTGCAGCTTATTGCACCAGTTGTAGGCTAAACTGAATGTATGAAGCTTACTGAAAAAGCTCTTTAAGGTCACTTCCAAAGTTTTTGAACCAACTCTGGGCCACAGTGATCCTATGATATTGGCCAAGTTCAGAAGCTGATCTGATTTCTTCCAAGGCAGCTATGGAGTAACTGAAACCATAAGGCTGGGCAAATATATGAGAAATGTTGTGGATCTGTCTCTTTTCCTGTTTTCAGAAACTTCTGGCTTCTCCTAGGCTTCATTTAAATAAAAAAAAATGAGAAAGATGCCTTGGTGTCATTTCTATTCTCTCTGTATAAGTCCCCCCCCCCCCCCCGCACCCATATGTCTAACTGACATATGGTGTGCAACTTCAAGTAAGACACAGAGGAAAGTATACAAGCAATTTGTTTTATTTCTATTTTGTTTGGTGAGGACAAGTTTGTTTCTCCAGGATATAGTGGGATGGTGATTTTTTTTTATTCCATGTACTGAAAGGTCAGACAAGAAAATATTGCTTCTTGGCTAGTGGGCTGATCCAGTGCAATCCCTGTTCTTATTGTGTACCACCTTCAGACTGATGGATTGGGACATGTATGCAGTGGCAGGGTAGAAGTGCCTTGAATCAAAGAAACTCGATGTCCCCTATTAAAATCCATATCAATAAGCCATCCTGTGCAGCATTTTCAGCGAAGCTGTCGAGGGAAGTTGTTTCAACTTCCCACCCAGCCTCTCTAATTTCTTTTAGTGGTTGAAACACTCTGCAGGAGAGTGTAAGAGAATAAAATAAGGACAATATCAGCGTTCCAACTATCATGCAGAATTAAATCAGAGTCCAAGGCAGATCTATCCTTAAAGTTCCAATTTAATAAGACAGATATGTTGGCACATCTTTGGAAATCCCAATTCTGAAAATTTCCTGGGATTCCACCCAGTTGAAAGTCTATGAACTTATCCCCACACCCATAAATCCATCACATGGTCCAATCTTCTTCGGTCACGCTGGCTTCTCCACCCAGCTTGTTCCGGTGAGGTGCAGAGGTGTGGAGACAAAAGATGACCTTGGCTTCTAGAAAAGAATGACAACAACACATTCCACAATTCTTCTCCTTTCTATTCCCCCCTTCCAACTAGTACACTAATGAAACAGCATAATGAAATATTAGAAAGTGTG